TGTGCTGGTTAACGTGAAGAAGGGTTATAATTGGTAAACTGAGCATACATTGATCAACATATAAAGGTTATTCAGTCAAAGTAGAAAGGAGAGAGACAGACAGGAGAGAGAGAGAGAGAGAACGCAGATGCTCTTAGGGAATGTTAACAGCAATCCCATTCTTAAAGAATCCCTAAGCTGAAAATCGTTCCGAGTCAGTAATTTAGCAAACTGGCTGGAATGCTAAAATCCAATCTTGAAAACAGCTATTATAAAACTATAAACATGTGCTTAATTTTTTTCTAGAGGCTTTAACTTTTGTTCTATTTTGGTCTCAGACATGAAAAGAAGTTTGGAAAACAAAAAAGAAATGAACTGCATGACAGGCAAATTCTGAGCACACTAATGTTTACGGATAAGTCTGACGCTTAAGAACTTAAAATCCAAGAGAAATTTTCTTCTGAAATTGTAGGATTTACATTTCAAGATTATGAACAAAAATAGGACAACACAATCCAGACAGTCCAAAATCTAACGTCTTACAGAATCAATGTTTGTGCTTTTAATATAGGCATGGATTAGTATTAATTCAAATATTTAACCTAAGCCAAACATCAGTCTTGTTGGTGAATCATCTGATGCTAAACCATTTGCCCTATGAACACCCATGGAGTCTCCCCCACCCGTGCAGGAAAGAAGTGGGTCTTAAAGCTAATGGTGCTTTTTGCCTCCAGATGTAGCAGTTTCTCCAATTCCCAAGGCAGGCAGAGCATTTCTGTAGGACGTGCTGTGGTAAAGGGAGTGAGGTAGGAGAGATAGGAAAGATCTGTGGACACAGCAGACTGGCTGCTAAAGAGTAGGTGGCATGGGTGTCTACCTCTCAGAATGTCCTAATCTAATAAAACAATGATGCTCAAGATTGTTATCTGAGGTTTCTTTTGGTTCCAAGATTCTATGAACATAAATCTGCCTAAGGAAGGAAGAGAAAAAAGAAAAAAGATTCAAGTAATTTTAAATATCAACTCTCATATGATATAAAATACAAACACTACTAATAATGTCAATTATAAATTACTGAGACCTTTCTGTGGATTTGAAATTGTTCTAAGCCCACAGATGTATTAGTTTCTTTAACCCTAAGACAGAGGTACGCAAATCCTCCCCGACTTCCAGGAGAGGACACTGAGGCACAGGGAGTAGAAAGCCCAGAATGACCCAGACGTTTAGGATTCAAGACCCCATGCTGCCTTTTTGAGTCATGATAAAGCAACTTTAGTATATCATTCGAAACTATTCAGAACAAAAAGCCCAGTATTACATTTATGTCAGAAACCATTATATTTTTCTCAAAGAAGGCAGTAAATAGTGACAGATGGTGGACTAGGAATAGGAGGATAGAAGAGGAGGTCTTCTTGCTTCTTAAAACACAGCCACGCCCCAGAGGAGGCGCAGTGTTTCCCCTCCTCTTACAAACATTAACAAAATAAACGGTAAAATTATTTTTGGTTTCCTTTTGCATACAATCAAATGACGTGGTTACTTCTGGGATCTATTTTTGAGATTTGCTGAAATTACTTCCAAATCGTTCAGAACAGCCAGTTTTGCAGCAGGCTGCTTTGTTTGGGTCGAGAAAGGATTCTGTGCCCAACTAGAATGATCTCACGTCCTCATAAGCAAAAGACGGTGCCTTAATTGCTCCAGAGTACCAAGTACCTGGAGTAGAACAAGTGCTCAGGGAGGTAAGGATTCTGCAAACGGATAGAAACTAGAAATCAGGGATCACTGTGCCAGGGACTTCTACTTCTTCCCACTGTTTTCCTCTCCCTTAACTGAGTCACCGTGGTCATGTGCCTGGCATATGGCGGCTATTTAATAAAGATATAGTAAAACCACTTCTTGAATACTTAGAACTTTTCTAATATATATTTATTAATCATTTGAAGAAGTAGGTTTAAAATATTATCTTTCTTATTACCTATAGAGTATTATTCTTAAAATAGGTAAAGAATTTCCTCCTTTGTCATCTTACTCATTTTTTAATTTCCAAATATTAAGGGGGTATAGAATATTTTCATTAGAAACAAAATCATGCTTAAGAGCCTCCAATGCTAGTGATATTATCAGATCCTACAGATGGAGCTGGAAGTGTCTAAATCTAACATGGTGCATACCCACTTTGCAGCCAATTTCAGCATATTTTGAGTTTTAAGAAGAACAAAGTGGACAGCTCCTTGCTTGTGCCCTGTCTCCAGCACCACCCACCTCCAGGAACGGCCATCCTGAGGCGGGTGGGAGCGTTCCTCCTCTGCTGGTGGGGTTGGCGGGGCAGGGGACTCAGATGTGTTCTTGGCTCCCACTCTAAAGGGAAGGTTTTGTGTTTATTCATTCTTTCCCTCAATCTTAATTTTGTCTTGTTTTCCTAGCCTTTGTTATTTGGTTCTTTGCTGCAGAGAAACAGCTACAATTTTGACTGAGAGCCATCGTAATTAAGCCCCAGGATATTCCAGGACAGAGTTAACAGCACCGTCATGGCCTCGGCGGGTCTCCAGCTCTTAGCTTTCATCCTGGCCTTGTCTGGGGTCTCTGGGGTGCTCACAGCCACACTGCTGCCCAGCTGGAAGGTGCACGTGGACGCGGGCTCCAGCATCATTACGGCCATCGTGCAGGTGCACGGGCTCTGGATGGACTGCACGTGGTACAGCACCGGGATGTTCAGCTGCACCTTGAAACACTCCATTCTGTCCCTCCCCACCCACGTGCAGGCCGCGAGGGCCACCATGGTCCTCGCATGTGTGCTGTCTGCTCTGGGGATCTGTACTTCCACGGTGGGGATGAAATGCACTCGCTTAGGTGGGGACAGAGACACCAAGAGCCATGCTTCCTTTGCTGGAGGCGTCTGTTTCATGTCGGCAGGAATCTCTGGCTTGATCCCAACAGTGTGGTACACAAAGGAGATCATAGCGAACTTTGTGGATCTCACAGTTCCCGAGAGCAGCAAACACGAACCCGGAGGAGCTGTCTACATAGGGTTTGTTTCTGCCCTGCTGCTGTTTATCTCGGGCATGATTTTCTGCACTTCCTGCGCAAAAAAGGATCCAGAAGCTCGGCCCTACCCAGCTGGGCAGGAGCACATCTCTCCCACTCAGCTAGAGGACAGCGCTGAGTACAACCTGAAGGATTATGTGTAAATAACTACATAATGTACACAGAATGAAGCTTTGGGGCGCCTCCTAGGACTTAAAAAATCGAATTATGCTAAATTTTCTTTACAAAGAAAGAGTGTAAAATATTTGAAAAACTACAAGGTTGTTTAAAACATCAACAAAATTATCATACACAACAATCACATCTGTTTTAGATTTTTTTTCCATTATTGTTTTCATGTACTAAAGATTTATAATTGAAAGAGATTTTCTGATCACATCCACGTGGCAATTAATTGATAGCTTTTATTTCCTTTTCAAAATAACTTCTTGATACATATTCTGAATTGGATTTTGCAAAAGGACTAAACCACCAAGTACAAACAGCTCCCTGCCCTCGTGTTAATCAGGACTGTCATCTATCTTTGCTATGTGGCTGGCAATCCCATAGTAACGTGCTTCTGTTTTAAAGCCATAGTGCATGAAGGTACAGGAGTCACAGAAGAGCTGTCCATGCCACTCAGATGCTGCCCAAACACCACCCCAAGTCCTCACTCACCTACTGTGACAGCCGCCTCTTCCTTCATTTTAGGAAACTATCCATATGCATTTCAAGAGCTGACAGGATTACACACAAACTAAGATTAGGCAGAACTAAAGAAAAGAAGCTGATAAACACTAGCACAGCAAAGGAGAGCCAAAACAAACAAACCAAACTCTCCAGGACTTTTTAAAGCTAAGCGATAAAAGAATAAAAGTTTGTTTTAAAATGCCCAAGAACTCCTCTCTTCTGCTTAAGAGGATTCTCCAGATGAAGTTCAGTTGTCTTCAGGGGCTGGGTGCGGTGGCTTGAGTTAGAAAAGCTGACAATTAGTATCGTGTCTGTTAACATCAGTGGAAGATGGACTGATTTCCTCCAGTTACCTGGAAGCTCAGCTGACGGAGGTGGGCAGATGGCAGGGGAATTGTCAAGGTGGCAGCAAAGAGCTTGGAGAGTGCCCAGACCATGCTTCAAGACAGACAAGCAGATCTAACACTATGTCTAAATCTATAAGCCACACAGTACTAATTTTTGTGCTATTTTTATTTATGAAGGACAAATGACATAAGAGAAAGTCTACAAGACTTTATATTTGAGAGTTTTAACAACCAGGGAGAAATTTCTATTCCTCCCCAGCCTGTAACTCCTGAAGGCAGACTCATTGGGTGAGGCCCAGCCCCCAGGCCTGAGCATCAGGTGTGTACAAGGTGAGTTCATACACACATGCCCTACAGGGGCTCACCAAGCAGTGCTTTTGCTAAAACAGACACCACCTCTTGTATTTCTATTTTTGGCAGAGAAACTTTGTTTCTGTAATCATCACTAATATAACCAGCACGTAACACGTAACAGTCAAAGCCTAGTTTAATATCTATTTTTCCACAGATGACTTATCACAAATAATATTGCCAAAATAAGGTAAAAAAAATACTAACAATATTTATTGTAGCTTTAGCTACATAATTCTACCAGAAATCACAAGTATTTGATTTCCTTTTGCAAGGATCAGTTAGGTGACCACATAATTTATCTTTTATGCTTTTAAGCGTAACAGAGGAAGATGATGATGAGGGTGAAAATAGTCCTCCACCACCAGGGCAACCTGCATAAACCAAGACGTCCAGTCACCCAATCTAAGGGGGAGAGGGTCAGAAGAAGAACTTTTCATATTGTGATTTTTATGGTTCCTACTCTGGAGGAATAAAGAAAAAGTTATGGCACAGTTTGCATATAAATAAAAGTTAGATCCTAGAGATTATTTCTTATGACACATTCTCCACAGAACAAAGATTGCAACTCAAATCCTAATTCAAACACTAAAACAAGCAGAAACTCACCTCTGGCTTGGGGACGAAAGCTCGGCCTGGAATGGTGAAGACGTGCTGGACACTGCAGAGATACTGGGCCATGACTGAAAGGCGGCTGCGCTGTTTGCCTCCGGTATTGGCCGTAAGTCTCTACCGAAGGACAAAACGAATCGAAGCAGACAGTAAGTCTGATCGTGTTGAGCTAACATGCTGTCACCTCTGAACACTATGTGGATGTTTGAGGAAATTTAAAAGCATAGGCTACACATAACCTGTAGCCAACAAGGGCAATGTTTTCCTGCAACACTGATGGAGGTGGACCTAAGAAGTGTGAGTTACATCATACACAGACACTCAAAAAATCACATCAAACTTCCCTACCACAACTGCTGAAATTTCAAACCACTGTTCTGTTCTATGGCAGAAGGTCCTACATAAGACAAGCGATCAATAAATATTTGATGCAGAAATTAGTAAGCATAACAAAGAATGAAAGATGCTTCCCCACTAACTTATGAATGAGCATTTTTAATGGTGCACTTTTCTTGATTTAAATGTAATTAACCCTTGAATATGTAAATCCTTAGAGAATGGCTGTTCATGACCAATGATTTTTGTAAAAAGCTAAGAAATCCATTGTTTTAAGCATATAAACATTTTTATTTTAAAATTAATTAGGTATACCCAAATTCATAAAAGCAAGGCAATTTCCATCAAATCCCTGCAGGATTTTACAGAAAGAACTTTAGTTTTCACACGTATCATAAATTTTTTAAAAATCAAATTCTATACGCAATTTATATACGGCCAAGAAGGGCTAGGACACTCCCGAAGGAAACCAATACGTGGGTGTACCATCCCCGGGGCGTCAAAGTGAAAGCTGTGCTGCCCCAGCACAAGGAGGCCGTGGAATGAAAGCTTTAAAACAGACCCAAGCATGTGCTACAGATGAGATGTAGCGACTGCTAATGGGAACAGGAAGGATGATTCAATAGGCAAGATGGATGTAATTAGGAAACTCTAAGAGAAAAAAGGAGGTCCCTACCTTTATTTTTGTACCATAACCAAAAATAAATTCTAAGTGAATTACCGATAAGTGAAAGGCAAAACCGTAACATTTTTTAAGTGAGTATCTACACCCCCCATGGTAGGGAATTTCCTAAAGATGCTAAAGCAAAAGCAATCAAAGACTGATATATTTGGCTCTATCCAAGTTAAACATTTCTGCACAATAAAAACACTATAAAGACAAGTTATAGACTCAAAGAGAGTATCTGAAGCTCATATATGTGACAAAAAACTCAGGTTCGGAATCTAGAAGAAACTCTGACATGTTGATAATCGTTAAGATAAACAACTGATGGAAACTATGATAAGGCAATTCACAGACGAGTGCCCTAAAGGCACCATAACCCAGACCACACCCAATCACATCACAAACTCGGGATATACGAATTAGAACCACAATGAGATAGAATCTCATACTCAGAAACAGAAATTTTTAAAAAAGGACTGGATAGAACCCAGTGTTGGTGAGTATCTGGAGCTACAGGAACTCTCACACACTGCCACTGAAAGAGGGAATCAGTACAAGGTTTTGGAGCATAATTTGGCAATATATAGGAAACCTGAAATCATATCAACCCTGTGACTCTTTATATATTTGTGTAAACCCTGGAGAACAGTGTACACCAGGAGGGATGTGTTAGAATGTTCACTGTGGCATTATGGACAGAATTTAAGAAAGTGAAAAACATACATAAAGGTCCAGCAACAGGTAAATGAATCGACAGTAACAATGTTGACAATGGAATATGAAATAATTAAAATGATTAACATGGGTTATCAACATGGGTCAAATCCCCAAATAGGGTAAAAAATAATTAAGTCACAAAAAATATGTGTAGCGTGATTCACATAAAACATGAGAAGATCAGCCCTGTTGTGTACTCTGTGTGTGTGTCTGCAATGCAAGCGGAAAACATGGGTGGGAATGGTGATTATCAATTTGAAGATAGTATATCTCATAGGAGAGAAAGAAAGGGGATAGAAAAGGATCCTAAACATATCTGCAATATTTTATTTCTTTAAAAAAGATAAAAAATATGGCAATGTTTAAATTGGACAAAACTGAGTTGTGGATAAAAAAAATTAGGCATGCTTATCTTCCTAAAATGTATCCTCCTTCTGTGTTCTCAGAGCTCAAAGGACATCCTAAACCTCTTCTGAGTGATTCAGAGGCAACAGTATAAGCAGTAGGGATTTCTGGAGTAATCTTAGGGCTGGTGGGCAGGCAGGGGGCTCCACTGCTCACCAGTCCAAGGCTTAGTGCTTTCTGAGTTACGTCTCAGATGCTGGGTTTTCTCTTCACTGGCTGTGCCCACCTATCCTAACAGTCTCTTTTATTTTACTGCTTCTAACCTGCCCTGGACATGAAAACCACATGTAAGATTAAAAAATATATTCTGTGCGAGATGCTGAGGAAATTTCCTGTGGGCAAAGTTGTTGATTTTTTAGCCTCTTTTGTTACTCAGAAGCCACCACCAACATTATTTAATTTTAAATCACCTGGTTCTTCTCTGTATTTATAGAGTTGAAATTATTGGGATGACAAGTTCAAGGTAAGTGACAAACTGCTATGGCATATAAGACGAAACAAATTCTTCCTTACTAAAATGTAAAACCAAGAAAGGAATATACTCTCAGGCAAATACAAAAACATAGCGACACACAACAGATGCACAGATTTAAGTTAAAGAATAAACCTATGGATCAAATAGCCAGAACTACTTCTAGTTCTCCTTGAAGAAAAAAAAGGAGCTTAATTTTACTACTAGCATAAAATTTAAAACTTCAAAATGCTTTGTAAATTTTTAACATCCAACTGGCACAAAGTCAAAGCATATCTTTAAATGAAAATCCAGAATGAACATAATTACAAATCAGACAATAAACCAAAAATAATGCCCACATTTTTGAAATTATTATTTCATCCTGGATTTTCTTCTTCTTCATAGCTAACGTTTTAAAAAACTCTTTTCTTTTCTTATATTTTCTTTTACTTTACTTTTTTCATTTTATTTTTCTTTTCTTTTCTATTTCATTTTCTTTACTTTACTTTTTTCATTTTATTTTTTTGGATTCTCTTACTTATAAATCCTTATGTTGAGGGCTGGTTTTCAATAGATCACAGCAAGGGAGCTATTCTGCTATGTAGAAAACACTAATGTAGCTACTACTTTACATCTCAAAGGTGAACTTCCACTGATGCATTTAGAATAATTTAAAAATCACTATAACTAAAAAGCAAACCTGTAAGGCATAAATCCTAAGTATTCTAATTGGCTGTAAAGACACAATATTTCACTTAGAATGCTGCATACACCTCTAGTACTATCAGGGGACGGAGTGTCCCACCTAATCCATTAGCTTGGCCCATTCAATCTTTGTAGCGAATATTCCCAGGTTCTAGAGATGAAAACAAGTGAATCATACATTTTAATTTAGAAAAAAGCACCACGCACAGCTGTCTCTGACTCATTAAGAAAAAATTCGTATCACAGACCAGAAAGCTCTACAAAAGACTTCGTTAAAAGCTAGCATAAAAGTTAAATGGTCTATCAACCATTCAAATATACTTTGCCATTTTCATGACAGATATATTATAAGTAAAGCTAAGAAAATTCAAAATCTGTCACAAGATAGATGATTTTAACAACAAAAGGCCAGGAAACCAAACCCGTTAATCTTTAGTAAAAGGAAACCTCTAACCCTTGAGCTTTTAAAAGCATTCTGACTATGAGAAAAACGAGAGGTCAAAGGATTCACAAGGACAGTGCTATTTTTTTCTTATTCATCCAAAATAATTTTAAGCACAAGTAGAAAAATTAGGCTTACATTTTACAAGCTACAACCGCATACGAGGGACAGTGAGAACTATGTGTGGCACTTCATGGAGAGGTGACTTCTCCCTCACTGGGGATGTGCAGGTAGCAGCCAGGGACCGTGGGGATGGGAGGAGATCAAGAGGCTGGTGCTGGACCTGGAAAGAGAAGTCTGCAGGGCCAGCACCATCAAGAACTTGAACATTAAAACTTCAGCAGAAAACAGAAGGCCTGTGGTCAAGTTCAGGTTTCCCTGTAACTTCACTATGACCTTTGGTACGATATTTTAAACCCCTGTGAGCCTCAGTACGTCATGTATAAAATGAGGTTAGATGAGATTTGTTAAGTTCTCATTTGCTGTTACACAGCCAGATTCTATTCTATGAACTGTAACTTGGTATGTCTGTCCCTTCAGTGAATGAGCTGAATTCCTACATTTAGATCTTGTGTCCTGGAGAAAGGAAAAGAGGACAGTGGTTATTTATTTCTGTCTTGTAACTCATAAAGCCAAACTAAATGTTTGAAAGGGCTCTCCGTGACCAAAATATGAACCCACATAAAGACCACATGGAAAGGGCACATCAGAAAAGGCTGGTGTATGTTCTTTCTTCCACTGATACTTTCACTTATAAAATGTGAAAATCAATCAGGGGACCAGGGCTACCCATACTTCTAAAGCAGTCCATAAATTACAGACACAGTCTATAAACTATTGTCAATATTCGTGCAGTAGGATCAACTTGGAGTTCACACAGGGCTGGGAAGTTTGCCTTCCTGCCAGCTAAAGGAGAGGCCTTGACATAAAAGAGTGGGAGGTGGATTCCTGAGGCAGGTTCTGACGTAGTAGTGGGGCTCAATTAGTTCCAAATTAAAGGCTACTCTAGAGCCACTGGAATGATTAAAAAAAAAAAAAAAGCTTCAATCTTCAGGTAACTTATCTATGTTTGCTAGAACAAAACCCAACTCTCAGCCTAATGCTGCAAAATCCAGCCTTCAACATTTTAATGAAAATTCTCATAATATCTGATTATCTTGTCAAAAATTACAATTTCTGTGAAACAGCAGAAAAATGGGATTATAGTAAGGATGGGAAAAAATCAATCAGGAAAACAGTATAGGGATGACAGAGGTAATGGAGTTAGTAGGCGAGGATCTTCAAAGAGCTACTGTAAATATCACACATCTGCACAAAATGCCAAGGAAAACACGGATATAATGAGGAGCGAGAGGGAAGGGTAAGAAGACCTACGTGGGACTCCTAGAGATAAAAACACAGCACTATAAATGAGAGTAACAGACAAGACCCTGCAGAAAAGAGCAGTGCACCTGAGGACACAGCAATTGCGACTAATATTTACGTAAGTGAGTTACTTCCTTTTTTAACATAATAGTTAACCAAATATCCACACTTTTACTTTTATCTTCACTGATGATTTCTGATGTGACCATCATCACATAATAAGTTATCTGCTTCCAGGCCTTCTCATGTAGCCACTGTCCTGTCTCATGCCTGGATTATTAAACTTCACATTTCATAACCCCAGCACTCTGGGAGGCCGACGTGTGTGGAGTGCCTGAGCTCAGGAGTTCGAGACCAGCCTAAGCAAGAGCAAGACCCCATCTCTAACAATAGCTGGGTGTTGTGGCGGGCACCAGTAATCCCAGCTACTCGGCAGCTGAGGCAGGAAGATCACTAGAGCCCAGGAGCCTGAGAGTGCTGTGAGCTATGACTCTACAGCACTCTACCCAGGGCGACAAAGTGAGACACTGTTTCAAAAAAAAACCAAAAAGCGTCACATTCTGGCATTTGACGGCAAGTCTTTCCCCACCCTTCCTTCTTAGCATTTCTCATGTCTTCTTGCAGGTCTGTCCTTCAGGGTGACCCTGGAACTTCACTACCTTTCAAGGTAAATTCTTTGAAGGAATCTAATTATATTAGGTGTACAAGGTGTACTAAGTTAGCTGTAAAAAACCAGCATCTTCCTGGTAATCACCTCTCCTTCCAGGGGTGTGATCTTTTTCCTGATTTATCTCAGTGACCTTTTGACACTCTCAGTAAGGTTTTTGTGGTTTTTATATAGATCTTTCATTTTTTCTTAGATTTTTCTTAATAATTATGTATCTCCAAATAACATATTTTTCTGCTTCCCATTCCAATAATCACATCTTTTATTTGCTTCTCTCTCTAATGTATTTAGTTTTCTTTTTATCAATCTCCAATTCAATTGCAAAGGTTCCCAAATTTAACTTCTGCTGGCACGTATGTGAACTGGATAGGCATTCCATCAATTCACCTCCCTGACTGCCTCCAATCTGGACTGAGTGCTCTGCCTGAGGACTCCCTTCCCTGTCCTGTTGGGCCCTCTGCCCCTGGCGTTTCATGTCATTTTCTCCTTGGTGTCTCTAATCAGACCGAAGCTTAGGAGGTTCCTGCCATGACAACAGAGGTGCTGACAGAGATCAGGGAGGGCAGACCCGTGAATAAATGAGGCCAGGCTAATTTGGATCCATGTGGTAAGAACAGTAAGATTGGCTTCTATCTTAATATACAGAGATATCAGTTCCACAAGGATCATAGATATAAACTTGAAAGGTAAAACATAAAGCTCCTGACTATAACTGAAAAGTATCTTTGTGAGCTCAAGATATAAAAGGACTGCTGCAACAAGACACAAAAAACACTAACCATAAATTTAAAATTAAGAAAGCTTGCTTGCTCTTCAAAGACAATAATAACAGGCTATAAAGTAGAACACATTCTTAACACATTTAACTAATAGTATGGAAAGTATGTAAGAACTCTCAGGAACCAATAAAGAAAAGATAAGCAACTCAGAAAGAAAGATGAGGAGCACCGACCAAAAAAACAAGTAACCCAAAAGGCCAGTCAATATAAAACTGGTGCTCAGTTTCACTACAAACCAGTAAAGACAGAATAAACCAAAATGTCATACTGCTACCCTCAGATTAAGAAAAACGTTCAAGTCTATCAACAGCAAGAACCAGCAAGAATCTGTTGCAAACTGGACTCAACACGCTGCTAGTGGGAATAGAAACTGGTGAGATGATTCTGGAGAGGAATTCAGCATTATCCAGTAAGGAGGCTGATCTGCAGGTCCACTCCCAGGTCCACATCGTAGAGACCAGAAATCTTGCCCATGTGTCCCAGTTGACAGACATGTAAGAATGTTCACGACAGTTTTGTTTGTAATAACAAAACACTAAAACTAATCCAGGGTCCCCAACAGGAGACTGGGCACATAAAGGAGGACACAGTCAAACAGTGGTTAGTACAGATAAATCAACTACAGCGATACGGACCCTAAAGCAAATCATACACATGACGTTCAGTACAAAAAGAATACGTACTATCTGAGTCCATTTCTCTAAAGTGCAAAATGGATGAAACCAAAGTACATTAATTACATGGATACAAATCCATGTGCTAAAACCCTGCCAGGGAATGATCTGTCCAAGATTTGCAGTACTGACTACTACGCTAGCAGGGTGCACAGCAGACACCATCAGAGGGAGGAGCACAGGAGAGGGTCAGAGGCACCATCAGAGAGAGGAGCACAGGAGAGGGTCAGAGACACCATCAGAGGGAGAAGCACAGGAGAGGGTCAGAGGCACTGCTGAGTCAGTAGGCAGCTTGGGTCGGGGGTGGGGGGGACTCAGGTGTTCTTTCATCTATGGATTTTGGTATCTGTGGGAGGGCCTAGAACCAATCCTTCATGGACACTGAGGGACAATGATTTTATATGTCATCAATTTTTTAAAAAGCAACGTACAGATCCCCTCCATAAACCTCTGCACCTTAAAAACCACCCTTACCCACCCTGGAGGTTTATCTTCTAGAGAGGGAACTCAGAGGCCACTGCCCGGGACACATAGGCACAGCTGAGGTGGGAGAGTAAGTGACAGTCTACATACTAGATAATGAGACCCCAACCCTCCCTCTAAATTGATTATTATACCCTTCAACTATTATCCTATTGAGTGCAAAAACCCAGTTTAAGATACCAAATCCCAATCCCCATGTCTGAGTGTAAGCCAAAGTCACACAGCTTCTGTCTTTTTCTAACTGTGTCTACGCCATCGTGTCCCCGTGTTTATCACACTGTCTTCCTGGCTGACATGCGTCCTTCCTGGTTCCCCTGGAAGCTTATAGCAGGTACGTCTGTGATTATGCTCATATGTTTAACTTCTGGCCAAGCTGTTGAGTTTTTCATGTGAGTAAGAGTATTCATTAACTTAGAAAACAGTCTACAATAAAAACATAGTATTGTTTTGTTTTGGAATTTGATCATGTGATAAAATAGCCAGAAAAAGTTAACACTTACCTCTGCCACTTCCTTTTGAAATGTGAGAGTCAACTGAGTCCTGCCATAGGCAAAAGGCCCATCTCTACAAGACACACTTTCGAGCCATTTGATAATCAGTGGGGTTGAGACACTAAACGGCAGATTTCCAATGATATGTATATTTGGAGGGTCTGTTGGGGAAAAAAAACAACCTGGAATGATTTCATCAATGAATTCCAAACACAATTTTAGTTAAGAGTAAAATTAAACTGGAAATTCATAACCAAAATATGTAAAAAAATATAGCTGAGAATTTTTCATTTCATTTATCCTTCAAAAACAATGTTTTCTCACAATCAGTTTTGAATTATTGAGGAAAAAATTCTATCTAGTGTTTACTCAGTTGGAGAGTCTCAGATTTGTTTCTAGCCTAGGAAATGCAAGACAAACAGTTGGTTTGAGGGAAAAGATAATTCTTGTCCTTGCATGAGACGAGGCTATGTCACGGGGCTATCAGATGAAGCTGTCACAGGGTCAGGTGCCCGGGAAGGGGATATAGGCTGGATATAAAGATGTGAGTGTCTGCAATAGACAGGTGGCAAGTGGAACCTCAGGAGTGGAGTAACTGGGTAAATGTGCAGGAGAAAAGAGCATGTTCAAAAAGAAAAATGTCAGAAGCAACAACATGCAAGGAACAGGCAGAAAAAATAACCACCAGCAAAGGAGAGTTAGAGGAAGTTCACAAATGAAAGGAAAAACAGGAGGCTCGTATCAGGGAAGACAAGAGCAACCTTGGATAACAGTCAAACGAATGTGGGAGATCCCAGTTGGTAAAGTTTACAACTGGCAAGGAGGAGGCAGCTGTACCTCTAGAGTGGCTGGGAAGGGGCAGAAACCTGAAGGCTGCGTGCGGAGAAGAGGAGGCCCATCAGTAGCTGGAGATCACACATGTGCCACTCAGAAGGACCTGCCATGGGAAGGCCGGGGGCACGGGGAGAGTGGCGTGTGGAGGAGTCCAAGACCCTCCTCCATTTGTTCTCTGAGTTTTTACAGGCAAAAAACGTATCCTATTTACCTTTGTATTCCAAAGGGCTGACATACAGCAGGTACCCAACAAACACTGTCCGTGAATGAAGAGTACCTTGGTAAATCATTGAGCACGAAAGACAACGGAAATAAGTTAAAACAAAGGTTTAGGTGTGGCCTAGTTTACTAAAATACTTCTTTTTTTGCTATTTGGAAGAATGACTTCATAGTTTACCCCATCCCTATAGGGTGTCTTAAAAATGTATTTGCGGCTCGGCGCCTGTGGCTCAAGCGGCTAAGGCGCCAGTCACATACACCTAAGGTGGCAGGTTCGAATCCCCAGCCCGGGCCCGCCAAACAACAATGATGGCTGCGACCAAAAAATGGCCGGGCGTTGTGGCGGGCGCCTGTAGTCCCAGCTACTTAGGAGGCGGAGGCAAGAGACTCGCTTGAGCCCAGGAGTTGGAGGTTGCTGTGAGCTGTGATGCCACAGCACTTTACCCAGGGGGACAGCTTGAGGCTCTGTCTCAAAAAAAAAAAAAAAAATGTATTTGCATAAAATCAAAATATTTGAAAATTTGAAACAAATAAATTAGAATTAAAAATTTACATTCTGGAATAAAGTAGCAAGAAAATTAACAATGCATATTATCTATTTAATTCTCTGCAGGTAATTTTTAACTTTAACATATAAGAAGGGGGGCGCCCAGAGCTCAGTGGTGAGGGTGCTGACCACATGCTCTAGGGCTGGTGGGTTCGAACCCAGACACCAAGCTGATGCTATGGCACTCTACCTGGTATGACAGAGCAAGACTCTGTCTCTAAAATATATATATAAATAAACACCTAAGAATCCTTTAAAAAAAAACATGTAAGAACATTTATAATAAATAAAATGAATATTTATGATATAAATAATTATAAAACAAAAATTTTAAGACCACCTATAGGCACTTACCATCCTCCCACTGTCTTTTAAGACTTTCCGGAAAAGCCTTTTCTACCTTAAATGTCAACACATCTCCATGAACAATTCTCAGTTTTCCAGGTGCTGCATCGGAAAGCATCTAGCTTACAAAAAAAGCAATAACGTGAGCTCAAACACTACGGGGAGTAATAAAACGAAACCTTTCGTGCCCGCGCATCATTGAATCAGCTGGAAAAGTCAGATGTTAGGAATGATCATTAGTCAACCCAAGAATACACGTGTCCCCCGCAACAGACCCTGTGGTGCTTCACCTTAGCAGGCACGATCATTAGAGACAGTAACAGATAATACTGTAATACTTATAATTTCACAAACAATATTTCAGTACGCCTCTCAGAAGCACTTCTATTTTCATACAGATTTAGGATAAACTCAAGTCCTATGTAAGTTTTTAAATTAGAGATTAAAGACATTATAATGAAATACTGAGAACTAACTAGGAGTCAACCATATGATGAGCAGAAGGGAAGAGGAGTAAGAGGGGAGGGGAGGGGGATAAGGGAGGAGGGAAGCTATTTGGGGGGACCTCACCTAAAGTGCAATGGTGCACTTCAAAACTATGAAGAAATGAGTGTAATTGTGATGGAGGTGTTACTTAGTTCAATGTAAACATTTCACATCATATATCGAAGGAGTACCCTGAACCCCATAAATGCATCAATGTACAAAGTTATGATTTAATAAAAAGTAACTAAAAAAAGAAAAAAATAAAAATCACACACACACACAAAAAGAAAGATGACCTTAATTCAACTAAATCTTTGTATCCTAAATATACACAAAGGATTCTGCAAATCACCAAGATCGTTAACTTAATCTACGGGACAGACTCAAACCAAGCAGAAAGTCACTTAACAACGTCAACCCCCACTTGGCATTCTGAGACACTCCCCTGACCAGAGTATCCTCATCTTAACATTTCTTGACTCACAGGCCCTGCAGACCTACTGAATTATCCTGCATGCTTTAACAATAGCTACCTCCAAGCCTATTTCTACCTTCTAACCATATGGTTTCTTCCTTTTTCCTTTTGTCTTTCCGAGCAAAAAGGAAAAAAAAAAGGACCCTGTCCTTTGTAGTCTCTTTCTTCATTTTATCCACCTCAGCACCACACTCTCACAGTACTGAAGAGTTGGTACCTACTTCAAATGAGCCTTATAGCTAAGACATCTTCTATAGAATCATATTCTATATGTACCTAACACAAAACTTGATTCTTGAAGTCCTTGGTTAAAAAAAGGCAGTCCCCCTGAGCTTATAAAGATGAAAATGCAGGAGTGAACAAAATAAAGAAGAAACACCTCTACTAAAGCAGATTTCAAAAGAAGAAGTGATTCTCTTCCCACATTAAGTCAGAGCTCAGAGAACCCTGGCTCTAGTGGAGTTGAGACTCTAGAACTCACCACGGTTACACAGGGATGGTCAACAGGCTCGCAGAGACCGTCTGCCCTGAGCTCCCTGGATCCATTCTCTTAGTCCATCAAAGCTGATTTTCTCTAACGTTTTCCCCTTGTGTAACTCAGACAACCAACAAGAAGGATGGAGACGATCACAGAAGCCAGAGAAGAGACACAAGACCACGGCCTGGGTTGGCAACTTCTACAGGAACAGATGCTCCTTAAGGCAGCACTGTTTTCTTATCTACCTTTACAGCCCTTGGAGCTACACAGGACATCATTGTGTCTAATACATCGTATTTCAAAAGTGAATGAATAAGTGAAAGACTAAATGGCATTCTGCTCTTTATGACAGTGGGAGCTTGCTTTTCTAGCCGGGGAGATTTTGGCTGCTAAAATTTGTAGGGTTGAGAAACTTGTAAAGACTTATCTGGCTATCAAATCAGGCAGAATTATACTAGCATGATTCAGAAATACACAGATTTAATATTTGTATTGGTAAGAGGCTAAACATTTTAAGAATCATCTAGTTTGATATGTTTAAACAAGGTAGTTTTAGCAAAATATTTGCATACCTGTAGTGTTAATGTACTTAAAGATTATTTTATATTATGATGACTTGCTAAAACTGAATCTAATGAGTTCCAGACAACAAGTCTTAGAAGATGATAACCTTAATATACTAGAAATTTTAAAGAAGATCGCCCTCTACGGGACATGCTCAGACTGTATAAAAATCTGCATATCTAATGACAGTATTTGCAGTCCCTGGAGAATGCTGAAATTTTTTTCTATATTATGCTTTACACAACGAAAACAAAACAAATCAGCATACCAGAAACAAAGAGGCAGAACTAAAAGCTTGTGTATTATAATGTCATTATACAGAAAGCAATTATGTAATTAGTAATCAGTAGTAAGACAAAACAATCTACACTTGGCTCTTTGGTGTTAATTTGTATGCTCTGATAACTATATTTCAAAAACTAATTTTTCCTACACTACAGACATACCTAAAAGCTGACTTATAATATAAATTTACCTTTCTCTCTTGGGTTCAAAGTTGTATTTCTATATTTCTTTGGAATTCTCATTCAGGTTTAAGTCTCAGTCAATGGCAAACCAAATCCCTCCCATCCTTTAAAATCTACAAGGTCAACCTCTCCCTGACAACTCTGCAGCCTGATCTTCCCCTTCCCACTCCCCGCCGCAGAAGGACTGAATGCTGGTGTTCACAGATTTGTGTGACGGCCCAGAGCAATTACGGGAAAAGGGCGCTAGACGGACTGAATAGACGTGATTACAGACGTTAGCCTTTTAAACACCTAAGACGATATTCAACGATGACACGCAAAGACTTTCTAACCAACCAATAATAGAGAAAAATGTTTTCACTGCCATAATGATATCTGGGGGATGGCAGAGGGCTGGGGAAAATCATGATTATAGTCCTTCAAGAATAACACTGGAGCATTACACTTCAAAACCCTGGAGGTATTACCACATAATGTGCTCAAGGCACAGCCGACCACAGAGCAGGCACTAGATTACAGCCAAATGAGTGTTTTTACAGACGCTCTCAAACTGTTCTATCATTTTTATTTTAGTTTTCAATCCCATATTCTTCCAAAATGAGATGGAAGCTTAGAGTAAAAAGCATCATTAAATAGGGCTGTAAAAGAAGAAATAGGAAACCAAACCATGAAAAGGAAAAGCATGCACACAGGCAGTCCCCGAGTTACAAACATCTGAGACCGACCTACGACTCAGACTTAGGAACGGAGGCTATCACAGCTGAGAGGAAAATGTGCCTGTCCCAACTTACCTAAACATTCAACTGAAGAACAGACCTACAGAACCAGTCCTGTTAATAACTCGGAGACCACCTGTATACCTACCACAGGACCCGATACTCTACTCTCAAGTCTTAACTCAAGAGCAGTGGAAGTGTATGTCCACACAAACACACAACAGCCACAAAAGGAAAAACCCAAAGTCTATTAACAGATTGAGATACAGAGATTGGTATATCCACACAACGGAATCCTATCCAGCAATAAAAATAAGCAAACCATTGACAAACACACCAACATGGCTGAAATTCAAAATAAACACAGTGAGTAAAACACATCACAGCAAAAAAATATGCATACTCTATGATTCTGTTTATATATAAAATTCTAAAAAATGGAAAATAACATACAGTGATAAAGCAGTGGAGTGGCTGCCTGAGAACAGATAACGGGAAGAGGGGGCAGATTACAGAGGAACGTAAGGAATGGAAGTGATGGCAATGTCCGTGACGATTGTGATGGTGGCTTCATGCAATTACACGTGTCCAAATTCAGGACTCTGCGTGCCTCCAGTTTGTGCAGTTTACTGAGCATCAATTATAATACCTCAGAAAGGCGGGAAGCATAAAATAGCTGTCCTTCACATGGCGAACGCTCCATAGACACCAGGTATCCTATTATTATCATTAACATACAAAGGTTTAAAACAGAAACAAAAAAGAGGAGGAATTTGGAGTATGTATCTGAAGGGGTACCCACGATTTAGAAAGTTGTCTCCAGTTAAGAAATGGGGAAGAACTTACTACCAAGGCTTTAAACTCCTGGAGACATCAAGAAATCTGTGATTTTCAGTTCAGAAATGGGGGAAGGACCTACCAAGGCGTCAAGTTCCTTGAGATGTCCGGACATCTCTCTACTCCCCTTCAAGGAACAGACAATCCATTCAGGGATAAAAATGGAATAACAACCCCCAAATTTAAAACCTTAGAAATGCACAATCGAAATGTTACAATAGCCAGAGAAAGAAAGCCTGAGTGTCTGACACAGTCGGAGCTGGAGGACGCCCCAAAGTTTCCATAGCACCAGGGATTCTTCTGGGGCTCCAGTGAAATGACATTCTTTTCCTCCCGTATCTCTTTCTAGATTAGCAGTCTCCTGATCGGCTTTTCATCATCTGAGGTACTTGAGGCACAGGGACGGTAATTATTTATAACTGAGATTTACTGAGTGGTTACTAAGTGGCAGGCATTCGCTTCATCCTCTTACCAATCGTATGAGCAAACTGAGGCACAGAGGACAGAGTTACCTGCCCAAGGTCACACAGCTAGTCTGGAGACTAATCCAGGGAGTCCGACGCTGAAGTCTGTGTTCTCTACCAAACTACATCATTTTCACACGATAGACAGGTTTCCTCACCCTACAACCTGCTGACAGTGAAACCTGCATGTTATCACCAGTTTTTTCCCTAAGCTGCCTCGCGATAATCTTATATGATTTGAATTAAGCTACAAATGACATGCTTTCAGCTAGAAAGACATTTTATAAATTATTACAATTTCTTTAAAAAGTAATTCTATTAGTTTAGAAATCACTAAAATGGAATCCTTAAAATAGATCACTCTCCTCTTGCCTTTACTCAATTTTATGATTAATTTAATACCTCCAACAGAAAGTGGTTTTACATATTGAAACATTCTTTACAGGGGAAAAAACCCTACGTGATATTTTAGTACCCAACATTTCTTTTGAAGGCAAATTCCTTTTCTGCATATATACTAAGAAATTAATTTTGCTCCTTCTACTGAAATGAATTAGAAGTCAAATATTCATTTCCTGGAATTCACTTTGAAATTAGCCTCCATACTTAGAAAAAAAGAGCATAAAACTTTTGATAATCAATTTACACAATTATTCACTTTCACTATTAAATGAGACATTTAGTCAGCTAGCTTGATATACATATTAATATACACATACGGACACAGACATAGAGATAGACAACTGTTTCCCGTGTGAGATATCACTGAATCCCCACCATATGCCAGGCATTGTTATTGTTACTCACGGTGGCAATACAGCAGGGAACAAAACAGACACAAACCTCTACCCTCATAGGACTTAAGTTCCCGTGGGTGAGTCACTGATGACAAATCTAATGAGATGAAACGAGGCAGGGTTAGGAATGCAGGGACTTGCTGGTTGGGAGAAGTTGAGAAGAGAAAGGCGGCAGTTACCCTTATATTTTTAGAAGTCAGGGCTCCTTATTATTTTTCTTTTTTAGAAATTTCAGATTAACATAAGAGTACTTACTTACAATTAGGTTACACTGTCTGCATCTGTCAGGTCAAGTCCAAGTTATAGTTGAGCCCTTCACTCAAGAGGTGTGCCCTATACCCCTGCACTGTACTGGACAGGTGACAGCTTACCAACAGCCTGTCTTCAAAGTTCTTTAGTTCAGATCAGAGAGGAGAATATATAAATTAAAATGGACTTGAACAGAAATGCGATTCACCCTCTTGACTACTAAGAAAAGATGTACGCCAAAGACAGTGATATTTGAGGGCAAAAACGTCAGATGAGCATTCCCTACGTCCAGATAGGGCTAGATGAAAAAATGTGAGGGGAATTACACAGTGGTATTTAGTTTCTTTTTATAATCTAATAATGCCACCAAAATTAACAACACTCTTACTTGTACTGCCAATTACGATGCGATTCTTAGAACAATATAGTTTGAACCAAAAATAACTATTGAATTCCTTATTTGATCAAGGAATGAATATGCATCATGTGGCAATTCCAAAATAAAGTTACAAATATGAAACCAATTCTGTCAGTACAAAATGGCAAAATTAGATGAAATGAAACATAATTTTTTAAAATCATAAAGCCTGGATAAAGCAAAATCAGAAAAAATTTGCTATGTTTCTAAAACATTAGACACATACACAGTTCTAGATTTTTAAACAAATTTTCTCAAACTGTTCTGACAAAAATTAAACATTTTTCCATAAGCATTAGAACATACTAATTTTAAATCAATTTGTCCTCTTGTATGAAAGTAATGATGTAGGTAATTTTACCACTCTATTATAGTCATGTATTAAATTCCTTGCCATCTGAGCCAAAGGCTCAGGGGTCTTTAAAAGTTTTAGAATTATGGCGAAATCAAACAAAGGCCTTTAAAGTCATTAAGTGCCCCCCCCCCCCAGGCATTCCATTTACAAGATACCTCATACAATCTATTCTACTATTTGCCAATGTTTTAAAAATCTAAGACTTTATTTCACATCCTCAATCCTGCCTCCTTTAATTCACACCTATTTGTTGTAGTTCCTTCCTAGAAAAAGTCAAAAACAAGTTTATCCTCTCCACTGCCAACCTCTGACAAGGGGCCTGAGTACCCTCACTCATCGCTTCTTTTCTCCAGCTGAAACATGCCCAGTTCCTTTACATATTTCCATACGATAACAGTGCCTGTGTTTTTAAGATGCATGCATCATTTCACTGAAACCTCATCTTAAATCTGTAAGTACAGAAGACCAACTCTGTTCCTTCACTTAAAAACCTCTTCTGTAAGAATGCTTGAGCTTAACAGTCACTCTTAATGAAGGGCCAGCAGAGGTCTCATGTGTCTTCTCATCTTTTGGTCATGGAAATGCTTTTTTTTTTTTTTTTTTACCAAAATTAAGTTCTCAAAAATCATGCCAATGATTCATTATTGGCCACTATTAATTTTTACTTATTTCTGAAGGAATAAATCATGACTTTCAAAGCTATATGATTTTTAAAATGAGATCACAAAAAACTGTTTCGCATCAATGTGTTAAGTAGGCTTATTCAAGCTGTAGTTAACAGACCATCTAGTAATGCTACTGTAGATTTCTAGACCTCTCCAGACTACAGAATCAATATCTTTGGGATGAGGCCATGGGGTCTGCCATTTGAAGAACCTACATTATCCTTGGGGACACCCAGGGGTTTAAGAATCATAACATTAAGATTTAACTTCGGCTTTTGCCTCCTAAAAAAACCTTAAATATCTTACCTGTAATCCAGGAATAAATCGAGTATCCTTTTCAACTACCAAAAGTTCAGCAACGTTGGCATTGAGAATGGATCTTGTAATCCCCCCTGGCCCAGGGCCCACTTCATAAACATAAGCATTTGTCAGATTGCCAGCTTTCCTTACAATTTTATCTAGAGAAAAGAGAGTGGAGTTATCTTGATTATCTTGGCAAATTTCAATATAGAGAATTTAAAGAGAAAAATAATCCATAAAAATTCTTATCAGCCATTATCCATCTAATCCTTTATATTTAATATTTATCTGATTATTTAACTTCCCATCTAAACCAATAGTGGCCATTTAATATTCTACCACTGTAGAACTATACCAGTCCCTTAACGAAATAGATTACGACAAGTTTGCTTAGCTTAAATTTAGCTGAACAATTTTATTGTTCCCTGCCAATTTGTTTCAGATTGATTTGAAACCAGTTCTAAGAACAGACTAAGCATGCAGCACTTTTCTACAGTTGTTGCACATCAAATAGTTTAATAAGAAAGATGAGTTTCATATTCAGAATCTTCAATGTTGCTAGTTTGATATCCAAAAGCAAAAAGTGCTGGCAGTTTCCATTTTTAGCTACGGACGTCTAATTGGTGGACAGTCTGGCAAAACAACATGTTCCTAGAAATGTGGATTCTTGGTCATTTTCAGGAAAAAGTTAAATTTAGCAGTGGAGGTTTCTTAAGCTTTGCAAACATGCATATTAAAAAAGAATTCATTTTTTACTTAATTTTAAGTTAGCAGACCTTAAGAAATCACAGAAAAGCAGAGTACTGGTCCAATGCAGCTAGTCAGCGCTTCTGGAAAATTGAACTGGTCTTAGAGAAATGATGTATTAAAATCTAAGCAATTTAGCCTGCTAGGATAGTGGAAATATAGCCACTAAAAACATACTAGCACTCACTGGCAGTGTTCACTGACTTCCTTCAGTCTTATTGTTCACTTCTGTTATGAATAACCTATTTTGGGAGGCTAAAAGGTAAAAATTACTCTATTATCTAAAATGGTTTTGTCTGTTAATGGGTGATGGAGGGAAATGGCACCATCCATCATATCTGACCATCACATCCGTTACAAGTGATTTACACATATTCTCTCACCTAACCCTTCCATGTTCACTAAGAACTCCTATCCCATTTTAATTTCTCTGAACTTTTCAGTTTCCTTGTCTATTGTTTCATTTGTGCAAGGTCACCTAGAAAGCAAATGGCAGAGATGCGATTCCATCTCAGATATAAATTCTAAAGCCAATCGTTGCTCCACTGCAAGCCCAATGCCGCCCAGAGGGAGCAGCACTAATATTTTAAGCACAGGCATTATGGAGTGAATTTAATATTCTCATTTTTTTAAAACGGAGAGCTATGACAGTAGGCAGAACTCTGCTCTCATACTTTTCAAGCACATTTTCAAATACAAATGAATATTAAAGAAGCACTGTCAAATTGCTAAGCTTGGGTTTCAATCTTCCTCTACTCCTGCATGTGTTTCTAACCTCAGGTAAGTACCTTAATCTCCATTCACTTTGGTTCCCAAAGAGTGGATAATAGTATCCAGAATCTGTGACTTGCTCCTGAAGATGAATAAAGGCTGATACAAGAAAATTTATAAGAAGGACTTAAAAAAATATATGAAGATCAATATTTTTCAGTCCTGAGACTGTTCCTTTATATTTACAATGTGGCTAATGACTAGCAGAAAAGGCTGGTACCAGTTAAACTAGACCCAAGGAATTTTAGAGGGGGGTAATCTTTCAAAGCTCTTGTACAAGGCCCCTCCTCCAAAAGATGAGAAAACTTAAACAGTGTTAAGCTATTTTATCCAAAGTCATATTGTTATGGGTAGAAAAGACTCCTGCCCAGGCTCAGCGCCTGTGGCTCAAGCAGCTAAGACCTCAGCCACATACACCTAAGGTGGCAGGTTCGAATCTAGCCCGGACCCTCCAAACAACAATAATGGCTACAACCAAAAAAAAAAATAGCCGGGCGTTGTGGAGGAAGCCTGTGGTCTCAGCTACTTGGGAGGTGGAGGCAGGAGACTCGCTTGAGCCCAGGAGTGAAGCCATTGTACTCTACCCAGGGTGACAGCTTGAGGCTCTGTCTCAAAAAAAAAAAAAAAGAGAAGACTCCTGCCCAAGCAATGAAACATTTTAAAAATTCATGCTTTGTGGACTATGTTTCACTAAACTGAAAATGCACTTTTGGGTGTGATTTTTCTGCTCTTTTCAACTTCAGAAGAGGAGCTAAGAGAATGAGACACCAAAACCTGAAAATAGAAGTACTTCAGCAGTGAATTAGTGGACGCACTTGTTAACACTTCTCGCAATCTCATCTTGGGTGGTGGTGGTTAAGCGAACAGAAACGTATTGGTCAAAACTCATCATACCATGCACTTCAAACTAGTGCATGTTCTTGTATATAAACGGTACCTCATGAAAAGTGACTTAAAAGCATAGGTAGTGGAAATGTAAGCTTAGTAAACGGTCAGCTTCTCAGGGAGAAACTTTGCCTTGCTCACTCCCATACCTCATCCCCAGAAGGACCACACAGCAGCTTGTCCTCGTACTTGCCCTTGAACCGGGTGAATACTCATGTCCTTAGAGGCTTTCTAGACTCAACGAGTAAACAAACGTCTAACCAACGAATCTTGAAAGAATACTTTTTCAACAAGTTATCAATAAAATCCACGTACTGTAATGTAAATATTGATAACTTTACACTGTAATGTAAATATTGATAAACTTTTAACTGCATAGAAAGCAAATCCAGTCAGCTTGTGCGGCACTATTTAGGAGTGACCCACGTGAACCCCTGACCGCCCGTGTGCGCGGCGCTGCACCGCACGTGTCTCCAGGGAGCTGAGACTCGGCGTTCCTTTAGTAGAAGGCGGTAGAAGGCCCCGGCCAAACGCCGATCGCACGCCTGTGCCTGGAAACCCGCCCGCGGGGTCCACACGAGACGCCCCCCACCCTGTCCACGCCCTCAGGTCCACAGGGGCGACATTCGGGCAGCACGAAGAAGTCATCCACCTGTCAGCCTCAGGTCCAGGAGAAAATTCTGGGATAGCTGCTTCACTGCTTTCAGTCTGAGTAACTTAATGATTTCTCGGATCGTGGGTAACGGCGGGAGACGGAAAGTGCTGAGCTTCCCAGCTGCAGCCATGGTCCCAGAGGAACTACAGACCCGCTCCCTTGACTTTTCCCGGCAGCTCCGACCGGGCTGGGGAGGAGCTTGAGAGCACCAGGGCCCGCCTCCGGACCCTCCTCATTGGTCAGATGTTTCCCATCGGAAGCGGCGAGCGCGGACAGGAAATCCGGGCGTACTGATGGCGCATGCGCTACGTCCCGCTGAGCGCGGTGCAGGTTGGGTGAGCTGTGGGTTCCGAGAGGGCGGTGGAGTGCGGGTGTTGGTTCTCTGGACTGGGCGGGGCGAGGCGGGGTCTGGGATGGAAGTTGGGGTTTGGGCGCCCTGGGTGAGCCGTTTAGCCCAGCCTGGAGCTTTCGAAGATCTTCTGGCCCTTTGACGTTCTAAATGACCTTGGTGAATATTAGCGCGGAAAGCCGGTGATCAGACGCAAAACTATTTGTTGTTTTTAGAGACAAGGTCTTTCCCTGTCTCTGTCGCCCAGACTGGACTGCAGTGGCACGAACATAGCGTACAGAAACTTCGAGCTCCTGGGCTCAAGCGATTCTCCTGCCTTAGCCTCCTGAGTAGCTAGGAGTTTGGCTAATTTTTTTGAAATATATTTTGTAGAGATGAGGTCTTGCTGTGTTGCCCAGGCTAGTCTGGAACTCCTGGGCTCAAGTAATCCTTCGCCTCCCTCTCCCAAAGTGCTGGGATACAGGTGTGCACTACCTCCAGGCCCAGAGTTCAACAGCAATTCTTTCTTTAGGCTACTTTTTTTTTTTTTTTTTTTTGGCAGTTTTTGGCCAGGGCTGGGTTTGAACCCTGCCATCTCCGGCATATGGGCCAGCGCCCTACTCCTTTGAGCCACAGGCACCGCCCAAGGCTATGTGTTTTTTAGAACAACCACTCTGCAGAGGACGCTGCATGGTGGGTTTCTAACTTCTCTGTGCTTCGTTTTTATTCATCCGTTAAGTGGCCATAATAATGTCTACCACAAAATTGCGAGCACTAAATGAGAATGGTCACTTGGTGTGCAAATTCAGAACATAGTGTACCCCTAGTGCATGGCATCTGGTAAGCCTGCAATCAGTGGTGGATGTTACTACTATAATTATTGGGCAGATGAATGCAATTCAGAGAGTGTAAATGTTTCAGCACAGCTTGTTAATGAGAGGGCCAGAATTAGAATGCAACTCTTCGGATCCTTCAACATGTTTCCATCTGAGGAGACAAACGGCCTTGTTTAGTACTTTAGACTTTGGGAAGTGTTTTCATATACTTTGACTGTTTGTTTTTGAATCTTTCACCAAGTCTTATGAAATAAATAGGACAAGTATTACTGGCCTCAGGAGTAAACAAAAGCTTAGAGAGGCAGTGACATTCACAAAGCTAGAAAATTGTGGAATCCAGTTGAATCTAAGTTTTGTGAAGTTTTTGGTGGCTGCTGCTTCTATCTTGCCCATGCAGTGGGTATTGGCTGCCACTCCACGTGTACCCTGGCCATGTGTTCTTAGTACCTTCTTATTGTCCAAGTATTGCAACCTCTCTTTTTCCTTCTCTTGGAGTAGTAACTGGGAAGCCAAGGATGAAAAGGAAGAAAAAAACATGATTGTACTAATAATAGCTAACATTCATAGGGCATTCTGCCAGGCTTTACAACTGTTTTACAACTATTATCTCCATCCTTACCACACACCAGATGAATACATTCTGTTATTACACATTTTTGAAGATAAAGTAAGGTTGGCAGAGGTTCAGCAATTTGCCCTACGCTGCACAGCTAATAAGTGGTGAAGGCAGGGTTTGAATCCGCACAGCCTACGTCCAGAGCCTGCTTTTTTGAGCAGTGCTGGCAATGTAGAGTTCATTTGCTTAGGCTGATTACATCCATGTACAGAGAGAAGACTTAAATAAACTAGGGGAAAAAAACAAAGAAAACGAAAGTATTTAAGTTTCTCTGAGAGGTGGGAGAATTTTGCTCTTCTAAATCTATACTTATTTGCAAATTGCTGCATTGAATCTAAAAATATTTATTTCTCAAGTAAGTTTTTTAAAGAGCTAATGGAAAACCAAATGACTGTGGGTGAGATGAAGAGATGGAGTCCTATGAAATTGCAAAGGAAAACTCTGTCGCCTTATAACTGTATTAGAAGGAAGCAAGATATAATCTGATAAAGCTCCTACCTTTGAGAAAGTAGGGACATGACAAGCCAGGCACAGTGGTGTGAGCCTGTAATCCTAGCTGCTCAGGGGGCCAAAGTAGGAGGATAGCTTGAGCACAGAATTTCGAGTCCAGCCTAGGTAACATAGAGAAACCTCCATCTCTTAAAAAAAAAAAAAAAAGTAAAAAACATTTTAGGAAAAAGTGAAATGTGGATTGCAACCTCAAATTGTTGGTTCAGAGGTTTTATTTTCCACAACACCCTATGCCTAGGAAGGCATTCATTCATGATTATACTAATTGTATCATTTATTCCTTGTAAGGGTTCTATGTGACGAAGATTATCTCACCATGGAGAAAAGCCAGGTCTTTTAACTTATCTTGGGTTCTAGAGCAAAGTACAGAGAGAAGATGATCTGAAGTTTGTCTTTTCTGAGTTCTCATCTAATTGGCCACACCTCTCAAGCATCAAATTATTAAGTTAATTCATTTTTGTTAATTTTATAATGCTATTTAAATACATAGAAATATGAAATCTATGTGTAAACGTAAGCTTACAATTTTCAATGACTACCTCAGAATTACAATAAATACACACAAAACTACAAATCCAATGCGAATGATCTTACTGGGTGATGAATGGTGTTAAATCACCACTCTTAGTGCCAAGCAGAATTCTTTTCTAAAGGTTCAGCTTACTCATGCTATGGGGTGCCGTGTAATGACTGAATGTTCTCAGTTTGCCATTGTCACTAGCTTTCCTCTTGGGAGAACACAGGCACTACATGTTAGGTCTGCTTGCATCTGTTTTTATTCGCTAGAAAACAATTGGAATTATTAGACACCAATGCTATCACGAATCTACACATTGCATGACAGTTACAAGGAGACTATTCAGGTGACCCAGAATGTAATCACAAGAACTTTTAAAAAGATTAACATCAACATAAAAGCAAACTAAAATTTATTTATTGTTGAGCATTTTTTTATTTTTTCAAATTAATATGAGGGTACAATTTTTAGGTACATTGTTCTCATTTCTAGGGCAAACTAAAATTTAAAAGAGCAAAAGCACGTTTGCATTGAGAGTTTGTAGGTTCTTGCTAATTTGTCCTCAAATCTAAATATGCATGTATGAATAGCTTATACCCTGCCGTCTTCAGTCATTCACATTTGTGAAGTTATCATTTCACAAGAAATGAAGTTTCCTTCGATACTTCACTTAATTCTTATTTCGATTATGTGATGTAGGCTCACAGAGATAGTCAGTGACTAACTCACTGTCACAGTGTGTCTTAGTTCATTCCTGCTCTTAGAACAAAATACCTGAGCCTGGGAAATTTATAAAGAACAGAAATTTGTTTCTCATAGTTCTAAAGGAGTTAGAGGTTTGGTGTCTGGTGAAAGCTGTGCTCTCTGCTTCCACATGGCACCTTGTTCCTGCATCCCCCTAACTTAATTACCTCTCACTCCCTACCCATTAATACTATCACATTGGTGATTGGTTTCAACATGTGAATTTGGGGGGACATTAGCTCAGTGCTGGTAAGTAGTGGAGCTGAGTTTAGAACCCACACCTTCTGAGTCTACTGTGGTCCTCCCCACCCCCATATGTGTTAACATTTTTTTGAACTGAATAAAAAGTTCCTTTTTAGAAGAATCTTTCAAGTTTTTAATAGTTCTTGAGATCTAATTTTTATCATCGTAAATATCTGATCCTTAATTTTTAATTTTCAGAACATTATGCATAACTCTGCAAAAGCCTATGAAATCAGCAGGGGGTTTTAGTAGTTTATTTCATATATTAATGCAAACAGTTTTATCCCTTAAAAGAGAGGTATGCTGTTTCATCAGTTTGAAGCTTTGAAGTATCTGCTTCATCTAGATACAGATTTTAATATGCTAAAATATTATAATTAATACAGAAATCACTAGCTCCACCTGTCAGTAATATGAAGAACTTCAAATGATTCATGCTGAACTCTACTTCAGAATTCTAACTTGCACAAATCCCAGAATGGTTGTATAGGAAAATTACTAGTTAGGTTAGTATTATTTTAATAAAAATGCATATGTGACTTTATTTGCTATAAGTAATTTAGTGTCTATTTATAGAAAAGGTACTAATTCTAAAAGGTTGTCATTTTACAGTTCCCCAAAAGAGACTGGAAAGTCACAAAGAGCAATATCTTTCTGCCATGTGGGAATTTTCAGGGAAAATTAAATGTGGCTTGGAATAGCCAAATTGAACTTTATAAAATGACTATTACGGCATGTAAAGTACCCTTTTCTGAGTATTTTATGATTTCGTATAATGTGACTCAGCGCTCCAGAGAAATATTAAGAGCCACATTTTGCACATGTTTGGTTTTTTTTTTTTTAATGGCACTTTGATGCCCACTGTTCACAAAGGAATCTAGGGACCTACCTAGAGTGAAGAAGGAGAAACATGATAATTCTGAGCCAAAAGGCTCATTCTGTGGGGATAGGAGTAGGGCAACTGATGGCAACACTGTCACAGGCTAATTGCCTGAGGGAACCGTGGAACAGTTACACCGTTTTTTCAATATGGTGCTTATCACTATTTGGGGCAGTGTTTGAAAGCCTGCTCCTTGCCTGGAAAGATGTGAGAGTTACCGTCAAGTATCCTAATGGGTGTCGAGGATGAGAAGCTCTTCTGACTCAGGATGAGGCCGGGAGCTAGAGATAGGGTTTTCCCTGCACAATAAAACAATCTTTGAGGGATGAAGAAAGTGTGCTAATGCCATTGTAAAATAATTGGCCTTTATTATATAGACAAACCTCAGAGAGATTACAGGTGGGGTTCCAGACCACCAGAATAAATATCTCAATAGAGAGTCACAGGCAGTTTTGGTTTCCAAGTGCACATAAAAGTTATGTTTACGCTACACTGTAGTC